TGTCTGAATTGTCTTGAATTGAAGACTTGAATTATTAAGTGATGACCAAAGCAGCTGCGGCCAAACAACTGGTTGACAAATTGCTTCAGCTCGAGTTAGTTAATTTACATATTCATATTTCCTCATGCACATTGATGCAATATCACTACTGTTAACAGGATCATTTCAGAAACACAAGATGTTACCAAACCAATGCACACAACCAGAGAGAGGCTAAAGAATCCTCCTACCTGCTCAGAGCTGTGATGAGCTTCTCTCTGTCGGTTTCTGTCTGACTCAGTGAAGCTCAGTGACTGACCGACAGAACCGGAGGGAGGGGGTGGACAGAGAGAGACAGAGAGAAGAAAGAAAGAATAAAAGAAAGAAAGAAAGAAAACGAGGGGAGGGGAGCAGTAACATTTTCCTCATACTTGAAGAATTTTTCCTCCCTCTCTCTCCTCCTCCTCCCCTCTTTCTCTCTGATGTAATCCTGGCTTCACAGGTCCTTCTTGGGCGGGGGTGTGCGATGGAAAACATCTGAACTTTTAGAGGAGTTTAAAGGAGCACAGTGGCCTAATGTGCGTCCCCTGCTCCACCACCTGAGAATCGGCCTTTGATGCTGTGCTGACAAACCTGCTGTGCCAGTCACCGTGAGCACAGCAGCTCCAGGATCGGACACCTGTGAGACGATGCACAGCTCAGCTCAGCTCAGCTCAGCTCAGACACAGGATGCGTATATTGTTGCAGAAGTGCAGGGCATTTTTTCCATCAGCTGATTCTCTACTTGCCTGTTGAATTCACAGATTCTGCTGGTTGGTTGCTTATAATACGTCTATCATCCATGGAAGTCAGTGGAAACTGAGCTTCTCTTGCTTCTTCAGTGGTTGACTCATTAAATTCTTCTTTACATGTAGAAGCTTTCTGGTAAAGGCCGTCCAGTTGACTGTGGGTGAATTAAAAAGGCCGAGCTGTCTATTGACCAATACCAGAGTCCAGAAGTCGAGGATGATCTGACCCAGGGTCAGGTGGTTTGGAAGGGTCACTCAGCGAATCAGGAGAAAGTGAGAATGATTACAGACATGGTTGTGAGCCATCTTCACCAGGTGCTTTCCACCAGGCTGCTATCAGGGTTGGAGTTCAGGCTGTCAAAGTGCTTCGTGCTCGCAGCCTTGTTTCATTCTTCTAATGCTTTTCCAACAAACAGAGATTACTCTGTCATGCAGTTTGCATAATTCCCTAAACCACGAACAAACAATACCTATTTAGTCTGAGAGACGTGTTTATGTAAAAAGAACACACTGCGTTGTGAAATATTTTTCTTTAACAAATGACTATCGTTTTTAAATCTCCATGGATGAATTCTTTATTTCATGGAAATAAACCTACAAAGGTTTTTGTAGCTTTAGGTTTCCAGCTGAAATTTTTATGAAGAACTCTGTCTGACCTCTGCTTCCTTCTGCTGTGGCTCGGCAGCATCTTTTTAAATAAACAGACCGTGTCTGTCAGTGATGACTGGGGTCCACAAAACTACATGTAGACAACTGTTTATTTTACTGATGAAACTGTTTCGCAGGTTCATCTCTGCACTGTGAGATACAGACCACTCAGGGGCCAGAGGCCAAACACCTTTACTATCGAGTTTACTACTGGCCCTAAAACCTGCCCGACCCCATGCTGCTCCCCCAGGCTTCACCCTTAGTGGCACAGCTGGCCACACGCTGCACTCACCGTGGATATACGTCCCTTCATTCACAAAGCTTCGTAATGTATTCAGCTTTAACACTTTTGTAATTGATGATTGAAGGTGAAAAGTGATACTTGGGCAAAAGTCAGTGCTCATGCAGCACAGTCGTTGTACCGTTTCCTTGTATTAATTCTGTGTGAAGTATTTCAGCAAAACAGCAAATTACCAGTAAAACTAACTACTGTTTCAGTGTCAGCCCAGATGAGGCAGTTTTTACATCTTGTTTATTCCCATGTTGTTTGTATAAACCTATGCCAAATACATATATGAAAACCAAGGTTATGACAGTTTATGAATAAAAGATTATTTTATGTTTTTAAATCCAGTTTAAAGTGTTTATACTGAAAGTCTACATTTTTGTCTTTTAAAGTCCAAATGCCTCTCATTAGTGAAATATTAAGATTCAGCCCCTTAGAAAGTTTTCCAAAAGTTAAAACTGAAATTGAGGTTTTACTTGGAAGTTTCTTGCAAGGGCCCCTAATTTAATCTACAATAATGCCGGTAGTAATAATCTAAAAATCTACAGCATGAGAGCCTCACTTATGGACCGCATGGAGGACTGTTGTTGCCAGTAAGAGTAAACAACGGGCTTTCAAAACGCTCCAAATATAGAATAAACAGTTGCACATTGGTGGCTAATCAGGATCAGGTGTGTTGTTTTTCATTTGTGCCTTCAAACATTCGGTCAGATTCAGGCTGACTCACTGGCACGGTGACAGGACATTTGTCTTCAGGGTTATGAAACAGAAGTTATGAAACAGTTAGTCACACCACCGGTCGCCATGCCACCGAAAAACAAACACTACAATAGCTACTCACGACATGTCCACGAAAAGAACGGACCTCATGGCTGCAGGATGGCAGGTCTAGGGGGTGAGAGGGCCTCTGTGTGAGATGACTGGCACACAAACTGATCACAAAGGGACACAAAATTAATACAAAATTTAAAAAATAACCACACATGGAGAACTTAAACAACTACAAAGTGACACAAATCAACTACAAACAGACCAAGTGTCTACAGTGTGACACAGCAACTACAGAGATGCAAAGATGGAAAACATTTACAAGACACAGAATGACCACAAACACAAGTACAAAGACACAAAAAACAACCACCAAAAAATAACTACAAGTCTACACAATATAACAACAAAGGCGTACAGAACAACTACAGAGAGACAAAAAGGCCAAAAAGAAGCATAATAATCACATAGACAGAATGACTAAAAGACAAAAAGCAACTATAGACACAACTCGACTAGAGCGACAAAATGATTTACATTTCTCTGCCAACTAGCCCATTGTCTCATGACTCAGCGACTCTCAGACTGAATCCAGCGCCTGGAGAACCTGCCCAGGTGACTGGTTGTGCGCTCAGCACTGTCTTGTCACAAGGAAACACACAACACCATTATGCAGCAATTTTCTCTCTGGCTCTGTTTTTTCCTGTTCTTTTTAATTTCCTGTTTGCAGCTTCTTAGATTTCCAGAGCTGTTTGTTTCCAAGTCTGTTAAAGTCTGTTAAAGTCGAGCCGAGCACCCAGTTTCAGATGGAGGACGCTCACCTGTGGTGCATTGGAGTAAGTCAGAACCCGTTTTCTGATTATTACTTAGATTCACAAACATCCTTTTGGCCCCAAGGACATTCACTTGAGGATTTAACTTAGTAGCATTTGTTAGTCAGTGTTGTCATGCACTGAGTTACACTCGGTCAGTGTTACTCCTACAGCTTCTGTTCTTATCACACCTAAGTGTGAAGACTGTTGATTAAAAAGCATCTTCACCTCGCTGCCGTCAAACACCTGCACCTGTTGTTGTGGCTTTGCTGTTTTGTATTCATTCATGTCTGTGCCTCTGGTTTGTATGCTTCACTTAGCATCTAATAATGCGGCACAGTGTTGTTTTTTTATGGCTGATATTTTTATCGGCTGCTTTGAATGTGTTTTTAATTTGTGCCACATGCTTTTAATGAGAAACTGGTTTCTATTTAATAGTTCACCGCCTGCTTATTTTTGTTTTTAGGATGCCTTTGTAACATCTGTCCAGATGCAGAAGTGTTTATTAATGTGTATTGTCCCTATTAAATAAATAAAAATACCGTGCTTAATACATCATATTTTTCACAGCATGCTGCAGGTTTCTTTGCTTGTGATTTCTAGCATCCCGTGCATTTTGTTCGTAAACCATGTCAAGTTCAAGTCTAGGTTCCTCTGCTGCCTTAAACATGTGAACCCAAACCCACATCCAGCTGTTCTCATCTACGGCTCATGTAGAGCTGCCAGTCCACCTCAGCGGGGGCCTGAAGCGGGCTCATTCTTAATCAGGCTAGATCACTATGGTAACTGATGATGCACAGCCGACCTGCTCCGGGGCAACTTCACAGGACCAGAACCTGCCAACAGCCTGAGCGCTGACCAGTCAGATCACTAAAAAACAGAGCAACCACTCCTATAGGATCCTGACTGGGACAACAGAGTCTACATTAATGTGACAAATAACAAAAAGACACATTTATAGAACAGCTTCAGGCTTTCCATGGGTCACTGCAGTTTCTAACAAACTGGGGTAGACCACAGCCTCCAGGATGTTGAATGCTGGGGTTTAAATGCACAAATGTTACTTGATTCCCAACCACATTAACAACTGTTGATGTTTTTACATGGTTAGAAAACTCAATAAGTCCTGACATGGTCAGAAAATAAAAACTAGAAATTTAAAGTTGAGTTAACTTGAAATGAACTAGACCCATACATTTATGTTAAGCTAATGACAAAACATTAGTTGGCCCCATTAAATCTCTGCATGGTTTTACAGTTATACTACCACCTGCACCTTCTGTACAGTTTCTTTCTTTATAAATAAATGAATTTGTAACTTGCTAACAGCACCCCGGGCTCATGTGCTGCATCATTCTTCATGATTTGCACCTCCTGTTTTTTTTTTATTTGAATACATACATAATTTATATTTCGGGTTGTTTGGCTTTGACTCTGCATGGATGGTGTCTATTTCCTGATACCGGAGAGCTGGCGTTTCCCTGTGGCCTTGTCTGGTTCATACAGTAGAAAGTGAATCGTCTCAACTACTAACTTTAAGTGCCAAGCTCAAAAGCCATTAGTCAGCCTCTGCAGACTCATCGACAGGACTTTTATGGTCCCTGAGGGAAATGACTGAAATGCCTTAGAAACCAAGAACACGTGCAGGCTAACGTGAAGGCTAATTGTTCCATGTGTGTTGTGATCAGGCCATGGTGAGTCAGAGGGAGAGTAACACAGAGCGACAGCTTGGCCACAGAGTAACAGGAGCATGGATATAATAAATCCTGAAGTGGTAACTGATGGTTCTGTCAGTAACTCTGACAGACTGACTTAGTGAGTGTGTGACCAGGAACAGCCTTTTCCAAACAGGCTCATTGGTTTGTTTCACTCAGATTTTGACCCAGAACTTTAGAAAACCTTACACAGAGTCCATGCAGAGGAAACAGGAGGCATGTCAGGAACCTGATGAACCCAGACAGGTCATCCCATCAAACCGTCTCAAGTCCAGAGGGAGAGGGCAAAAGGCAAAGAGCAAAGACTCCAGTCCAAAACGAGAAAGCCTTTAGGAAAACAAAATCATACAGGCAGACACAAGGAGAGCTGATTGTGGGTTGGTCAGCAGGTGCACAGGAGAGCAGAGGCAACAGAGGGAAAGTCCGATGACATCTGGAGGCTAGATGAGGAACAGCAATTCATGGAAAAGTACAGAAAACACCAGGGCCCTGAGGAGGTGAGGACGTGGTGAAAGCTGGAGGGGAAAATGATCCGAAATGAACTGGACCGGCACCGGGACAGATTCATTTACACCGGACGTCAACTGGTTCTTCCACACTGGGAGTTCACACCGTGTGCTAACACATTTTGACAAGCAAAGTGAGTTCATATAAAGAAGACACTGCCAGTGTTGGCCACGCTCTTGGTGAGTTTAACTTTCCTGTCACTAAAGCAGCTTCTGTGTTGACTTAATCGATCAGTGACCATCAGGAACCATTAAATTCTGAGTCAGGGGCATCAAATGACACACCCACATGTGTTACATTAGATTTTTTTAATTAGCTCCAAAGCAGAAAGTCTCCACCTTAAAGATACTGTCCACCAGGGCAGTGTGGTGAAAGGCAAGTCCAGGGAGTGAGGAGAGAAGTCTTTTCAATAGGAGCAGAGTCATAAAAAAGGTGAAGTCATTCTGACACCAGAGGAAACAGGCCATTAGCAGAGAGCGAGTTTATTATGGTAGCCAAGTCATTAAGGGAGGAAAAACCAAGAGGAGATAATTGTAAGAAATTGTTGTTGGAGAAGCAAGCAAAAGAGGAGGAGAGGGGAAAAGTCAAAGTGGAAAGTAACGGTTTGTGAAGTCTGTGTGTCTTGGCCAGCGCTGGGAAAGGTGCGGCACTCTCTGGCACCGAGGCCCACTTTGGTGAACGGGTGTCAGACCCCCCAGTTAAAGCCCTGACACGGTTCCAAACCCAAATTCAACCTTTGCTGAAATGGTGACATCACTGTTTTCTCCATCCACATGTCAGCAGACAGGCGTAGCTTAAAGCCCCTGCTGTACATTTACCACACTGGATGTGATTAATGAGTAGAAAACAGTGGGAATCTTTATTCTACTTGTGACAACAGAGTTTAAGGGTTATTTCGCTGCTTTTTCTGGTCACATCTGGGCCCAATTATCTCAAAATACCAAAAACTCTTTAAAACACAGTTTCAGATTTGTTGAACCCTCATTTTATTTAGTGTTGAGTTAGTGTTTCCGTTTCAGATTTAAGGTTCGAGCTGCTGCTGGCGCTAGATGAAAAGAGGATCGGTCACAGAATCAGGATTCATCCCTGGGGTCTGTGGATCAGCTGTTAAGTGGAAGAGACAAGAAATGCAACACAGGGGAATCTGGCACTGCAGACGAGCAGAACCTGGAACAAAAATGTGTAATCATGAAGACTCTTTGCTCATAATAACATAAGTACTGGGCTGTGTCTTTGCTGAGTGATTTGGCCAGTTGTCTTCTGGGAGCTGGACTGTTGTGTCATTCTTGGCCGATGCTCTCTGAACAGGTGCTGTTAGGTCAGTGTGAAGAGTGACAGTAGGAGGTGTCCTGTCCCCAGCTGAGTGACTGTGATATGACAGCAGAAAGATCCTTCTGTTGCCGTAACGACTGCAGTTTAACCTCTCATGGGGTTTCACATGAAAGTGAAAAGTCGCTTTGTGGCCTGTGGTTGACTGCGTGAGGTTTCGTTCCCCAACCTCAGGCCACACTCTGTTTCACTCCCTCATGCTAACCACCAGCGGTTAAATGACTCACCGCTTCCTCTCACGTTGACCACAGTGAGAGTCTGCAGCGGGCAGGAAACACTCCTCAGCTTCCTCTGTGTGTGTGAAAGAAGCTGAGAGACACAGTAACAGACAGGGAGCTGACGGGGTCCGTGGGGCACTGTCTGTGACCTCTGTTCCAAAACTGGAAGTCCACCCTTTCTCTAACAAGATGGCCTCTGTCTGCATGTAAACAAACAAAAAAATTACAGTATCACCTGGATTACAGTCATCTAACACATCTGTATTACGGCTCTGAGTGTCTGTGAGACGTTTGTTGAGACCAGGTGGAAGTACTCGCAGGTATTTGAGTCACAGTCGTCAGTTTTTACCCCTCTGTGTTTCACTGCAGCTCACTGACTGTGCAGTATTTGACCATGAAGTGAATCAAAGAGGTTTCAAACTTCAGGAAAATGGAAAATGGAATTAACAAGGGATTCTCATAATGTGCAGTGCAACACACACACAGCAGAGTGCACTGAGAATATTCTGTCCAAAATCCCGTTGTCTTCCTGGTATAACAAACAACAAGCCCACTTCATTGTTAACATCTGCTAGGATGCACACACATTCATGTGTGCATACTCTGGTGGTTACATACACACACACATAAATCTCTTTTTTGTGTGTGTGAGGGGCTCCTTGTTGTGTTCTTCACACTGCAGCTGCTGTAAAATGCAACAGTTCAGACTGAGAATCTGTGAGAGACCAGAGGATTCGGCTCGGCCCCCGCACTCCATATGACTCCAACACAAAGTGAATGCAGCAGCGTTACATCAGGAGGGGTCGGACTCTCAGTGGTTTGTGGAGCTGGTGCACAACAGGCCCGTCAGTACACCTGTGATCCATCCCCCCCCCTCCCACAGAAAGAGAAACTCACCACAGAGAAACAAAAAGCCCTGATCTGCTGTACCTGCCAAACATCTCTTACCTAATGTGTGTTCACTGACACCACGAGGGTCCCACTCAGAGGTTTTAAAAGGACACAAGACAACATCAGTAAACCAAACCTGCACAGCAAGGGCCCATGCAACCACACTTTTGTTTATGAGGAGGCCAATCCTGCACACAGATGGTGACGTGATGCTGTACACATGCAGCACAGGCTCATTATCTAAACCGTGTCAAAGTTATGCTCAGAAGGCAGCACATTACAAAACGCTGCCATGCTGTAAATAAGACGAAGGGCTCTCCAACATACTCCTTGTCATTTGGAATCAGTGTACAAGCCGTTAGCTCTTTTCTGGTTTGTCTTCAGATCCCACTGAAATGCTGAGAGAAGCAGCTGTGTGCTGCTCTGTAATGAACGGCACAACCACCGTCTTCATCTTTCTAGTCTCTTGTTAAGCCAAAGTATCCTGTCAGAAAACATTACTGTAGGTGTAGTGGTGCTTATACACAGATACAGCACATATACATCCCCACATCTGGGCAGGGAATGTTACCATATACCTACTGAGAAATAGTTGCAGATCAGTGCACGTCCCGCAGACAACAGGAAATCATGTTTCTTTGTTATGTAGTATAAAACCCAACATGAAGTCGTCTTCAGGACCGACAGCTGTTCATAATGCTAAGATTTAGGGCTTTGACTGAGATCGGGGCTGGGCCGTGGTTTGGGCTGGATTTAAACTCAGGCATGTCATTTTACCTTAAAACGCTGAAATGTGTCTCCAAAATAAATTCTGCTTTGAGAGCAACTTCCCTCCAATAAAAACTTCTACTCTATAACTGAAGCTTCAGCAAGAAACAAGTGTGTTGTAGGTGCAGTTTATGATCTCCTGTATTAAAAGGTTTCACAGCTTGTTTGTGCTGGATGTGACCATAACGGTGAGAAGCTCCAGGAAGGAGGTCGCCGTCATCCTGCTGTAAAACCACCGATGTGATGGTGACAGAGAGGAGCCCCACGTCAGCTCTGAGGCATGTGCACGTTAACATCTTTCCACAACAGACACAGCCAACACGCCCACTAAGACTAACACAGCAGACATGCACGTGGTCCAAGTCAAAGCTTGAATCCTACACATGCAGATGAACACACTGCGAGTGAGCTCGACTGTGATGCAGCCAACGTGCACTTGGTATGAGGCGGCACATACTGGCAACACCGAGAGTCGCTCTGACTGCGCTTTCTCTGACTCAGAGTTTCCACTGAAACACAACAAGCTTCAGGAGAGAGTCGGAGGGATTTTCTCACCTTGGCCCTGCAGACACATGTGTAGGTACAACACACACACACACACACACACACACACACACACACACGCAGCACAGATGGAGCAGGGCAACGTTCGGCTGCTCCACATTCAGGCCAGCATTAAAGGGCTCAACCAGTCAGTACTGGTGCTGCACCAGACAGTCTAATCAGTAAAGCTGTTACTGACTGATGCTTCTGTGGAGTGACTTTACAAATGTACTTAAAATGGATAAAATAACAGGTGACAATAGACAGAGGTGGCCATGCACCAGGTGGTGACATTCAGTGACATCTTCCCATCATGCTCTAGATTATTTTACACATATATAAAAAATAAAAATAAAAAAAAAACTCCTGCTCCGCCTCAGGGACAAACATTAAAACTGTATAGATCTGTTGCATTAGTCTGTGAAAAGCCTCCATGTTTCCTCTAGAGGTGAGCTAAGGTCTTTGGTAAGTAACAAAACAGCTGGGCTGAGCTTACCCTGTGTTTACATGCTCCTCTCTGCTCCCTCTGTGATGACTCTGGTCTCTGCTGAAGTCTGGCCTTGTGGAATATAAACACTTCTCATTTCAACATGATGCATAAACCTGTTATTTTCTAGCACAACACAACAACAGCTAAAGCTAACCCTTATTTGAAGAGTGTGAGTAACCTGTCGCTGCATCTTCTTATGTCTTTTACCTTTATTTAACCAGGTGAGCATCACTGAGAGCGAAGAAGAACACGATCACACACAAACAGCTTTACACATTCACATCTGGAATCACATCTGTGAGCAGCCACGGTTCTCATTAGCAGCAGGTGATTCATGGTCCTGATGTTTCGACATTCTCCCTCTGCCTCATCCGACTCGTTGTGAAACTCTTTGAGCAGTTTCGTCAGCGGTTATACCTTCCGCTGTGTTTCCTTTGTTTTGTAGGCTCGCCACCAAGCAGCCTGCGCCTCCTCTGGCTTGTCCGTCTCAGACAGTGATTGACTGACACTGGAAGAACATCAAGAAACCAGCCACCTATCACTCCCCAGAGACCGACGGTGGTAAACAGAGGGATGTGCAGCCCAGAGTTTACAAGGCAGATCAAAATTTCCACCTACCTTTGTTTTTTCGTTCTCTCTGAAGTACTCTTCACCCCCCCCCATCATACCTTCACCATCTGGGGCTCCTAAACCCACGCCTCATAAAAGGCTGAAGGACAGAAAGCTGGAGCAGCCAGAGGTGGAAAACTGACCTGTGAAACAGCAGGAGCAGGGAGATTTAAAACCGTGCTCGGTTTCATTCATGTGTTTGTGAATATGGAGCTGGAGCAGAAAAGTCTGACGAGTTTCCAACAGCGTTTATGACCTCGCACTTTTCCCACACGTCAGCCAAGACTCAGCCGAACATTTTATCTAAGGCGTTTAAATGAGATAAGCAGTTGCAGATTTTACACAGTAATAGGTGAGAAAAACATCTGAATTTCTTTGAAGGTCGTCTGTTATCAAAGTGCGGTTGCACACAAATAGCGGCCACAGTGCAGCTCTGGAAGGCCTCCGCCCTGTGGAGGCTTTGGTTGTTAGGGACTGTGCTTTTTGGTGGTTGTGACCTTGAGTATTAGGCTCAACGCAACATTAGAAGAACAGTTGTCAATGACCTTTTCACCTGAAACATCAGAAATAAGGCAGGTTATTTATCCTTCTGTGCATTAGTCTCGGTCCCTGTTTGCTTTTGTCCCGTCCTGTCTCTCACCTGTATCATGTTGTAAAGCTGAATGACAGCAGACCTATGAACATTACACTGATGCACTATAAACTTCATTTGTACATTTTAGATTCCTACATAAACATCAGCTGAACTTCAGTTGTAACACAGGATTAGTAAAGTGTCAACGGTTTTAAAAGTTATCCCTTATATTTCCTTACTTCTTATTAGAGTCAGCAGTATTGCACATTACCTGTCAGCACATCCTCTGTCGCTGAGGGGCTCCAGCCAAAATTCCACAGTCATAGGTCCAGAAGGAGCTGATTCTAAATCCAGAGACAAAACACAAATTTAAGTATGAATGGAAGAAGTGACAACATTTGGTCTTCAGGGGCAAAAAAAAAATCTGACCACAGTGAACAGACCAGAGGAAGTTGACAGCATGGGCGCCCCCGTCTCTCCCGGTGGAGCTGGCCAGACTCCAGCAACCGACGGGGGCAGCCTTTGGGAACAAGCTTCCTGTGGGTCGACACGACATGCTTGTGAAGTTACTCATGTGTCACCAAAACACAGGCTGTCGCTGGCACTCAGCGGCGTTTGACCTTCAGCATTTTTTGCCCATTTTGCAGTTTCACACACGTTTATTCTGAACACGGGTGTCAGAATGTTGTAAGGTAGAGAGCAGGACAAATAAAGAGGGGGCCAAATTTAGTTATCTGTAGCCTCTGAAAACTGAAAGAGGCCTCTGTAACAGCGAAGAGGAGGAAGAGGATTGTCCTCTGTAAAAGGCAAACTATTCATTCAGACACGGAGCTGCAGAATCTGGATTATGCAGGGAGTCGTGAAGAAGGGGAATCAGATAGTGGGAGACGCCGGACAAATGCAGCAACACAACATCACAGTCTCAAAAAGCTGCAAGACTTTTGTCTGACAGGTGCAGAGAAATCATAAAAAAGTCATAAAACAGATCTGCTCCTCTCAAAACACACAGGCTGCAAAACCTCCTGAGGAGGTTTACTGTTAACGTCCTCGATGTCTTAAAGTGACGTTCCCCCAGGTCGTCACCTGACGTAACGGGACGACGCACCAGCACAGGTCCCTGAGGTGGACCCTCTGCAGACCTCAGAACCGATGCTTATTTTTTTATGAATATGAGAAAATGTGAAATCGTCACATGTCTGTTGCCGAGCTTACACATTACACAATCTCGTGAAGTAACTGGTGCCGCTCACCGATAATTCCAAAATGAACAAGGGATTATTTTGGCTGAATATTTACAGATATTTTATGTCTTCCAGCTGCTGGATCCCAGTGAAGGTTGCTGTCAGAGTATTTCCATGTGAGATATTCACACAAAACCAAACAAGCAGTTTTCCATTACTTCTTGCAAACCAAAGACACAACTTTGCGTGACAAAAAGACCATGCTGAGTTGTGTTGAAATTTCTCTGTCAGAAATATGATCTGCGTCCATTTAGTGGCTTTAAAAGGTCTTCAAACCGAGAGCCTAAACATCTATAAACAAGTGAGTCACAAGTCGACATCACTGTCAGCAACACCCAGCAGCTGAGTGTGAGGCTGCTGATTGGAACCATGACCCAGGCAGCGTCAAGTACACTTGGAACATATTTACTGCGTCGGAGCAGTAACATCCAGGAAACGGCCACTGTGTTCAGACTGTGGAGCCCAATAAAGAAAATCATCAGGCTAACAGCTTTAAAATCATTACACATGGTGTTAAACTCACTGGTGCAAAACTGTCCCATTGCTAAGGAGCACGGAAAGGCCTTAAAAACCAACAAATCAAAACAAAACAGAAAGCGGGACTTCCTCCCTGAGCATTTTGTATCTGGATTTCAGAGCAGGTGTCGCAGTGGCTTTAAGGTGCGGACATCAGCCCATCACGTGACTTCGACTCAGCAGGTCGTCCTCTGTTTTGCAGCTCCTGGCACCGGAGACCCGCAGGTCTTGAAAACTCTTAAAAAGCACGAATTCAGTTTCCTCAAAAAGTCCTTAGAAGGTATTAAGAATCAGATTTAACAGCTGTATATAAAAACACCTGCATAATGCTGATGAAGAAGAAACGTTCTGCTCATCGCTTTAACTCGCAGCAGCATCAAACATTAAGGCAGAAATGTAGAAAAAGAAGCAACATGAAAAGCAGAAATGAGAACTTTAAAAGATCCCACACAACAACACCGTGAGCCGAGTCTGAGGCTGGACCTCCTAAGTGGTTCCTGTTAGAGATCCAGATGTGAAACGCGTTGTGGTTTGTGGTCGTTAAAAACATGTGTTGGAGCGAGCCGGAGCAGCTCCAGATCAGCAGCTCCTGCAGTCACATCGCTAACGGGAGCTTGTTTTATTGTCTGGGGACCAAACAGCTGAAGTTAAGTGGTGCTGAGAGAAAGACAATCAGGTCGGACAGGACGTAGAAAGGATCCAAAAGCATCCTCCTCCTCCTCATCATCATCATCATCCTCAGTGCTGCTACACAACTGTGTTACAGAGATAAAATCACCTGCACACTGTCATCAGGCTCAGGGACTTGGATGCCTCTTCTCTGTGTGGTATCGTGTCGAATCCTTCTGGGAAACTTTCTCTTTTCAATCTGTCCACGTACAGATCAGAGGTCAGTGGTCAGGGGCATGCCACGTTTTCCCTCAGCAACCCATCACCAACAGAGAGAAACGGAATAAGGAGAACCAGGAGGACAAGAGAATCAACGAATCAGGACAGTTCTTGGCTGCAGAGTCCCTTGCTCCATACAGCTCATCACCTCGTCTAGGCTTGCACTGGAGTCAGCAGACACCCAGAGCAGTGGCACCGGCGGCTTCACAGTCGAGTCGACTGAAAACCCTTCAGGTCTTGCACAGAGGCCAAAGGCACGGGACAAAGTTTGGGGCTTTGACACCCTGGGAATGAAAATGTGCTGTGTCTACAGAAATGCCTGGTAAGGCCTCGATCTCCACTGACCAAGGGAGGACCTCTGGTGTCTGAGCCTTATTAGAAACTAGTTGGGGCATCGCATTTCCTCTGTTATTTATTCTGGTGCTGTCTTCTCAGCAGCTTCCTTACTGCTGCTAAGGACAGAAGCATCCACATGGAGGTCGGAGGGTGAATTCCCAGCAGCACCACTCAGAGCAGCCAAAACCACCTGACTCTTTAAATTAAGAAAACATAATGAACCCTGGAACAGGAAGCTCACAGTTTCTCTTTCTGTTGCTACCAAGTGACGCTCCCAAATTCAGGGGCTCCTTTCTCTTCCAGCACAAACAATTTTTTCTCGGGACGTTTTCATTTTGGCATTTAGTATGAAAACAGTGTAAATAGGGAGACCAGCTTTTCTCCACAGTGCCTGAATAACCCACACTGTCTGAGGTTACAGTCTCTCCCTCAGCTCACAGAATGTCCCCTCAGTAAGGAGCCAATTTTCATTTACACGCACACACACACCTCCCACCTGGAGCAAAGAGCATCCTGCTTAAAAACTTGAATTAATGCAGAGTGCAGGTACGTGCTTGAATACAGACCGGTGTATTTGCAGTAGAGCAGCCAATGGATCATGGTAAATGAAGGCTGGAGAAGAAAGTGAAAATGAAATCACGGAAAATACCATTACTTTTTCAAAATAAGTCACTCTGTGTTTCTGAGTAGCAGGTGGTTCAAACACATTTAAATCGTTTTTTTTTTTTTAGAAAATTTAATTTTTAGTCAAACAACTAAGCAACTAAAAAAATATAAGTTGGCAGAAATCTTCACAGATAACTGTAACTTATGCCAGTGTAATTTGCAGCTATGCCTCTGATAAAAAGCAGCAGGAGATTGAAGAGGATGTGCACAATGTCATGTCTGTGTGTGTGACTGAGAAGGCGTCACACAGGAGCCCTCCTGACATTAATGATGCATATTTCACTCACAGCTCTAAGAACCTGAACATCTGTCTGAGCCCCCCTCAGCCGGTGTGTTTCACCACATTCAGCAGACAGGCGAGCTCTGCAGCCAGCTTTCTCCCTGATTCCAAGTGGATTATGGAGCTTTAGTCAGGGAGGATCAGCTATATTGACCTCCTAAGGAAGTGGAAGTCCCTGAATGATATCAATATGTTTTCATGCCTGTGTTCACATTTCACTGAGCGCTAACACTGTGACTCTAATTCAAATCACACAGTATCTCTTCCTCCTTTAAACGCTCCAGTTAAGAGGCTTTGGTCTTTGCACTGCTGAAAGTCAGACCACATCCTCCAATTTCACTGGGGAGGAAATGTTGTTGGCAGCAGTGGGTTAAATTACAAAAACAGCTACTTAAGTGTTTAATCA